TCTCTATGCTCTTCGTCTCCTGCTTTCTCGTTGTCAATCCTCTTTTGTGGTGGTAGTTGACTCTCGTAGTGCCCTCATGGCTTTGGGGTCCTTTAATCCGGTCCACCCGGTGGTCATTGAGATTCAACATTGGCTGTTTCTTATCTATAGTAAATTTAAGTTAGTAGAGTTTTGCTGGGTTCCCAGCCTTGTTGGTGTCTTTAAATGAGAGTGCGGACGCATCCACCCGTAGGATGGATGTGGGGTCCACTACCACCCGTAGGATGGGTATGAGGTCTACTACCACCTGTAAAATGTTAATGGGGTCCACTACCCTCCACAGGATGGATATGGGGTCCATTACCGCCCACAGGATGGGTATGGGTTCCACTACCGCCCTCGTGTGTGCGATCGTGGACCCCATACTCATCCAGCACGTGGTAGTGGGCCCAATACATATCCTTTTGGGTGGTAGTGGAGCTCATAAACATCGTGTGACTTGTTGTGGACTCTGACGACACAACCTTCATTTTCTCCAGTCCTAACCCTCTTACTCTGAATGACACAATGCATACTGAACCAAATCCAAAGAGTCCATCTTTGGCTAACTGCTAACAAACTCATCCTTAACATTAACAATACCTTCTATATTTTGTTAAGGTAATAAATCCTCAGATCAAATTAATCTTATAATAAACAGTATCCAAATAAGTAATAAAGTAAATGGTAAATTCCTTGGTGTTCTCATGGATAACACATTGGATTTCCAGGGCCACATTCAACATGTAGCAAAAAAAACTATTACGACACTGACAATTCTATTGCAAATGTTTCTCTGTTGCACCTGTTGTTCTGTTGCAACATTTACAATAGAATGTTGTATTTGGCTTGTGAGTTAGATTTTGAAATTAACAACTTCAAACATTCAAGCTGGGGATCATTATTGGTTCATTAGAGACTTGTTCGTATTTGGGGAAGTGAAGGAGTGGCTGTTGGCCGTTGATAATTGACACTTCAGACTCGCAAAATGTTAACCAATGGGGTGAGTTTTAGGGTGAATGTCAACCAATCAGCGGCCGGGTTTGGTTGGCTGCTGGATATAAAAGTGACGCTGAGCCAAAAAGCACTTCAGTGTGTTTTACCTCACTTTTGGTATACAGTTCCAGCTTCGTCTCCTGAAGTTGACCTGTATGTGGGGGGGATCCCTCTCTTGCCCCTGCCCTTGCCCCTGCCCTTTGCTGCGTCCCCCCTCCCTTGCCCCTGCCCTTTGCTGCGTCCCCCCTCCCTTGCCCCTGCCCTTTGCTGCGTCCCCCCTCCCTTGCCCCTGCCCTTTGCTGCGTCCCCCCTCCCTTGCCCCTGCCCTTTGCTGCGTCCCCCTGCCCTTTGCTGTGTCCCCCCTCCCTTGCCCCTGCCCTTTGCTGCGCCCCCCCCCCCTCCCTTGCCCCTGCCCTTTGCTGCGCCCCCCCCCTCCCCTGCCCTTTGCTGCGCCCCCCCCTCCCTTGCCCCTGCCCTTTGCTGCGTCCCCCCTCCCTTGCCCCTGCCCTTTGCTGCGTCCCCCCTCCCTTGCCCCTGCCCTTTGCTGCGTCCCCCCTCCCTTGCCCCTGCCCTTTGCTGCGTCCCCCCTCCCTTGCCCCTGCCCTTTGCTGCGTCCCCCCTCCCTTGCCCTGCCCTTTGCTGCGTCCCCCCTCCCTTGCCCCTGCCCTTTGCTGCGTCCCCCCTCCCTTGCCCCTGCCCTTTGCTGCGTCCCCCCTCCCTTGCCCCTGCCCTTTGCTGCGTCCCCCCTCCCTTGCCCCTGCCCTTTGCTGCGTCCCCCCTCGCCCGCCCTTTGCTGCGTCCCCCCTCCCTTGCCCCTGGTTCCCCGTACTGGAACATAGTGAAGTGTATGGGGAAACTACCATTATTTCAGACTTGCCTTGAATCAAAGGTTGGGTTAAATGCGCATAGTGCCGCATATGGCACTATAGTGGACCCAAACTGACGCTCCTCTACCCCACTTGTATCATGAGGCTAACCCTTAACGTGACCTTAAAAATTCGTTTAAATATATATTACTTTTAAGCGTACAATGGGGTCACTAGTTCTTAGTGTTAAACTACTTTTTTTTATGCTTTAACATGACTACTTAAATTCAGCGGGCTAGTGATATCATTCTAGTAATGGGTAAAATTTCCTACAAATTATTAACCAGGATATGTTAATCCTTAGGATGTCCTTGTATTTTTGCTATTAACGTAACATGTATGACGTCCTGTCAGCAATATTGCCTTAAACACTTCAGCCGATTTGTAAAATATTAGGTGCAAAAAATAAATTACCAAAGGCATGAACTTGTAAGGACGCAAGTGTATTAACATCAGTAATTCGACCTTGTGGGACTGAACAGTGTGCTCCAAATATAGTTAATTGGTTTGATTTCCCCCCCCCCCCCCTTGACCACAGAACATCAAAGGTCAGCTGCCTGTAGCTTACTAAGGGTTTTCCCGGTTTGGTGCCTTCTTTAGATAATTACTTACTAAGGGTTTTACATACCAGATTCTTGTATTATTTAAGATTTACCAATTTGTTACTAGATTCTTAATTTCAATTTTATAAACTTTGCACTTAAAAAGCTGTAGATCCGCTTCATAAAATGTTGATTATCAATTAACTCGCTGAAATATTTGCCCATTACATACCATAAGTCATTATTCAGAGTTGATGAACTCTCAAGCTTAAAGTACATTTGCGTCTACTCCGTACTAATCTGTTCGTATTTAGTGTGGTGTGGTATACTCCACCACGCCCATCCTGTGGGCGGTAGTGAAGGTTACTGTCTAACGAAGGCTTATTGGACTGTTTACATAACGGAAAACATTTATGCAATAAATATTTTTTAAACCTGACATTCCTAATATTGACTTCCTCTCGTCCTCAGGTCCAGGCAAGAGAAGGCACTCTGTGCTGGACATCTACAACAGAATAAAACACTGCCCGTCACCACTTGGTCTCCTAACACCTCGCTTTTTGATGAAGTAAAGACTCAGCACGAGGTGTAAAGTTGATTTCAATAACAAATTGTTACCTCAAACACTGGCATTTTATCATACCTTATTTAAAAAATTTTGTACTGCTGGGCACAGTGTTCTCGCGGCCCGGTCTCTGACTAGACCGTTAGATGATGCTATCCTGAACCCACAACCCGGATGGCCGGTTATTGTTTAGAGGGGTTCATAGACCCCCAGAACTTGGTTGCAAACTAGACTGATTTACCCCTCCCCTCTATACAACGCCTTCCTCGTATCTTGCCTTTAGTAATGCCACTGAAGCTTGACACTAAGCCCTCTTGGTTAACTCTTGGCAAGAATTGACAGTACGAAGTCCCTACTCTAGGTAGGACAACCCTACTACAGTGTTAACCTAGTTTTATAAACTTTCAAAGGGGCTATAAAAACCACGCATTAGCTCTACAAGTAGGCAAACTGTAAGAGGTTGCACAGGTCTTTCGGAGAAACCGGAGGCTGACCTGCCGAGGCTTTTCCAGTTTTACCTAATTGTATTGAGCTGGCCTGGTTAAATACTTGCTTGTGAGTCTGGAGAAATGGGAAGGTGCCCATATTTTCCACAGGACCTATTCTGTGGGTACCCAGATCACCCTCAGGATTTTGTACTTGCCTAATTGTGCTTGGGGAGGTTGAGCTTTGGCACAGTGGTCCTGCCTGTAAATTGACTGGTGTACAGATTCTAGTCTATTGGGCTCTTATCACATCTATATTTCAAACTGTGTATAGCATGCCGCCTTCAAATTGCTACAGAATGCATTTAATCTGTTAACACTTTTATATGGCTCACCCAACCACTTAGGCTGGACGGTAGCGCGACTTGCTTGATGCAAGTCAGTTCAATCCCCTGACTGTCAGTGGTTTGGTACCATTCCTTCCCAGTCCCATCCCAAACCTTATCCAGACCCCTTCAAAGTGCCATATATTTGTAATGACTACATTTTTCTGTGATAATTCCCTCATTTGGCACTGTTTCCACCTTGATGCTAGATTTTTGTAAATTTCTTGGACATGATCTTCAAAATTATATCTTCCCGGGACGTAATATACTTCCCGGAGCCTTTCCTCGTAAATCATACCTCTTCTGGGACTTTTTTTTTTTTTTTTTTTTTTTTTTTTTTTTTTTTTTTTTTTTTTTTTTGATCGCCTTGGGCTGGCTGTCCAGTCTGTGGTCAATGTATGCAGACAAATCTTGTGATCTGTAAATAGACAAACGTGGAATGACCTTCCCAATCATGTCAGGCTGTACCCCTGAAAAAATGTACCTAACAAGCTCCATGTAACCTACCTTGCCTCAAAAATGTCAACCTATGTCGTGCTAGTTTCAAACAATATTGATTTATAAGTGTAAAACTTAGTCTGTATTCTCATGAACCCAATGTACCCTGTATGTAAATAAACTTTTGATATCTGCCATGTATAAACTTAATAGATTAAAATCTTTTAGTTGCTTCTGCTGTTCCATCCATCATCTAATTTCTTTAAATTCAATTTATGCTCCTTATCTCGATTAGCGTTAAGTTTATTTCTTGCCCCAAACACTGTGGGTGTTAGTGGCTTCAGGCATTGTATGTACTGGGTATCTATAAATCCAACATTTTTTTAATTTTCAATATATGTACCTTTACCTGAATAAACAAATGCAGCAAGTGGCCAAATTGTTATCCGTACAGGGACTAATCTTATTTGGAATACGTCTGCGCGTGAAGCTAAATATTGTTTTTCTTCTGAAGCTGTGAAATAAAATGGTTGGAGAGTGATGTCTTGTGCATTTTTGTTCTCATATTGGCATCCTTGGTGATATTTAGCTCAATGATTATCCTGCACATTTGATGGTGCTACATATCCTTTCTGGCTTGGTGCCTTCCTTTTGATAACTTGAAATGCTTACATTTCTGCAAGAAATGTTTTAACAAATTTAAAACCAATGAGCTATACTGGAGTTTCAGAATAAGCAATTACTACTTAAAAAAAAAAAAAGTGCACTTCAATCTTTTAATATTTATGACTTGGGAAGTAGAAATTAAAATTGACCACAAATGTCCAAGTCTTTAGTATTCATGACTGGATAACAGTGGACCAAGGGTATAAGAAAACTGGTAACCCAAGAATACAGTAGCAGGAAAATCTATAAACAAAAGCAAACTTGTATCAGATCACAGCAACATTATATAAACATCTTCCATTCTACAATGTGATGACACTTTAGTTTACATAGAGGGTAATATTGAACACTATATACAGTACACATATTTACATAAGTTTCATGAATATTGCACACGTTTCAGTTGTTTGTGACTGAGGAAACCTCGTGTATAATTTTATGTGGAACAATGTATTGACTACAGTATACATATACAGTATATTTACTTAGTTTTATTAACAAAGGATATTTTAAAATATCCCTAATATTTTCCCTTACTTTCCATCTGGTAATTTGTCAATTTTTGAATTAATTAAATTTTGTACACAAGCTGTCTACAAATGTTTAATATATACACAGTACACAATATCTATCACCTGGAGAAGTGGAACAATTTTAAATTCTCAATAAAGTCCCGATGGCATGTCTAATATGTGTTTTGCAGGTGACCCGTTGATTACAGTGGACATGGTGCCAGCAGGTGTGGCCGTGTAGTCTGGCGTTGGAATATCTGGATCTATTTCTCCCTTCCGCCTTCCTCCTATGCCCTTCTCTCTTGAGCTCCGCCCGCGGGGAAGAGGGTAGTCACGGCCACCATAATCGACTAAATCTGCAAAGTCTGGCAAGCGTGTGTTTGGTTTGTTGAGCATAAAATTTGGCCCATAGTCACTCTCCCGAAATCCATTGGGGTTTTTAAAGCCGCTGAAGGCACTAATCTCAGAGTTGGAAAACTTAGTTTGCTTGCCAGCACGAGATGGTTTGATTGGAGTACCAGAAATATTAATGGGGTACTTTGAAGACTGTGTTTTTTCTTGGTGCTTGGAAGATGATCTGTTTTCTACATTCTTTGATTTTGAAGATCTTCTGTTGTCATCATAACGAGTTGGTGATTGACTTTCGTGCCTACGGCTACTTTTTTGGCGGTTAGGTTTCTCGTCTTCATGGCGAATATCTGGGTACTTCCACTTCAGTGTCCACTCGCCATCAGGTCCCTGAGTCTCCAACCACTGATCTAGGCGGTCTTCCACGCTACGGTTTTTGCGAAGATTCATTTCAGCAGTAATAAGCTCGTTGACACGGTTGCGCCGCTCGACTTCATGAGGGGTATACTTGGTGAACATCCGACCACTGATGTGAACCTCTTTCTCCTCAAGAGGCACCAAAAGGTCGGTGGAACCTCGCCGTCTTGGGGAATAGGATCGATGACTGTTGTAATCAGTCTTATTGCTGGCTTGGAAACTCTCACTGCGTTTAATACCCCGGCGACGTTCATCTCGAGACTCCCGTTCAGTGTTGCTGCGGTCAATGAAGGTCTCGTGACGCCTTAATGACCTCTCTGGACGCACAAAACCAAATGATTTCGTGGATTCTGTCTCTATGGTGCGTGGACTAGGCAGTGGTTGGCTGCTGTGAAGAAGCGTTTCAGTGTCACTGGTCTCTGCAGGGGATTCGAACTCTAGGAATAAGACTGGATCCCGCTGATTGCTTCCTGTCTGGGAATTACGGGATCGAGATCTAGCAGGCAGTTGTGGAATTCTAGTAGGTATGATTTTTAATTCTTGATTGGTCACATTTTCTGGGCTTGCACGGTCTTCAAAGTTTTCTTTCAGAAGTGGATTTTCTTTTACAGTTTCTTGTGACACTAAGCTCAGTGAAGACTCTGCACTCCTTAATACATTCTCAAGACCTGACATGACTGCTTCTACTTCTCTCTCACTAACATCATCTAGTTTTTCTGCCTTGTTTTCTTGATTATTTTTATTTATTTCTTCTTCCTCTTGCATCTCATTTTCATCTCTTTTTGATCCATTTCTCTCATTTTCTTTCTTTGCTGCTTCAGGTACCACTTCAAAGTGGTCAGACATCATTACCAGATTCTCGTAGTGATGCACAGACTGTCGCACACTATGGCCATCTGGGTAGCCTCCTTGACTGTCCCTAGACTCCAGACTGCCCTGTGTCTCCGTCAAACTCAGACTCTCTTCGGAGCCACGGGAGCCTTGGGTATTGTTTCTATCAATGAAGATCCTATCATTAGCAAGAGTGATGGCCTCATACACTACCATGTCACGCTCATAGTCGAGATCCCCTTCCTCGCTCCCACTTCTAGTCTTGCTGGCAGGCGATTCACTTCGACTCTTATTCTGCGGCGACTCCCGCCGTGGCACATTCATGTACTCCGGATCCTTCCGCTCCCCTCCTACATTGGAGGAGGTGGAGGATGAGGATGACAGGGAAGAAGTTGAGGAAGATAATGGGCTGGTAGTGCCAGAAGGAGGCTTTGGAGCCTTCCTTTTGGCATTAGATGGCGACACTGACCTTGGTGAGGATATGTGTGAGGAAGATTTACTATGTGGTCTACTGTCACTCTGTGTTGGACTAGTCAATTGCTGCCTCTCCCTGTCAGGAACATTATTTAAGGAGCAGTTTATCACTGGAGGCTCTTCAGAAATTTGTTGCCGGTGTCGACTGTTTGATCTGCATAGATTTTTGAGCTCCTGAGGCATCTGTTTTCCATCAGGAGATGAACAACTGCTCTCACAATGCAGCTCCACATCAGGCGAGGGCAACTTGTTCTCACTGCAGTAAGTCATATTAATGTGTGTGGTTGGCATATGTTCATTGAATCTTTCTCCTGAAATAACTCTCTTTCTCTCGGGTTCTTGTGTCGGTGAGGACCTGGTTGGTGTGTTGTCCCCCGTTTGATCATCATCTCTCTCACAGTTCCTGTTTGGAGATGCTGTGGCACTCCTCAGTGGAGAGGTCATCTTTGGCTCGGGTGTTGATGAGGAAGACTGATGTCTGCTCCTACTGCTGGGTGGAATAACACTGGTAGTGGAAGCAGATACATGACATGGAGTAACAGTTTCTATAGAAGAGATTGATGTCTTGCTACTAGTAGATTCAGCAGAGTTCTGACAATTGGTGTTCCAGACAGGTGTGAAAGACCTCTGACCACCTTGAGTAAATATAACAGAGTCAGTCTCAGTGATGGAGCTCCTTGCATCTCCATTCCTGGAGGGGGAGATGGAGCTACGGCACATAGTGCTATTCCTGAAGGTGTTGAGGGAAGAAAGATCAGAGTCACTAATGGATGGAATAGGAGAGGGTGCTACTGGAAGACCACTCTGTTCCAGTCGTCGCCTGAGGGCTGCATAACGTTCTTCTACATCCCCACCAACAGTCTTCAGGAGGACGTTTTCTTCAAGGAGTTTCTGGGTAAAAATTAACACTTTAGATTGTATCATTAAACTTTGCTGGAATTGACAAGATTTTTTTTTTAAACTACTGTATAGTGTTGAGTGTTAAGATTCAAATTTATCACCAGTTTTGTATTCTAAGAGTAGCCTACCCAGCTATTTTTTCACATATCTACATTACTCATATACCATTCATAAGCATCATCACATTTCCACCTTCATGGGGTAGGGGAATAAACCTTAGAGAAGAGCAATATAATGCAGTAAAACAAAGTTATTGACATTAAATAATAAAACAAAAATATAATTAGTCCACTCATATTTCACAATCTATATAAGAGAGAATGTGTGTCTGAGGTTGGAGGCTAGACAGTTGGGGGTCCCTCACCCAACTTTTATACGTGAAGCAAGTAGGGTAAGGGAGTGTCATAGGCCAATCGGGGTGAGCTCCAGTGCCACACTACCAAACAGTAGTGTGGTACTGGAGTTCCACTCAAGGTGAAACTCAAAGGAGTTTCACCTTGTGCAAATGAGAGAATGTGCAACTGAGCTGAGCATTCCACCTCTCCATTTAAAATTCTAGATATCATTGTGCAGAGGAATCTTAGCAGATACAGTATATGGAAAAGGGCAAACCTAGTTCCAATCTATAAAAATGTTAGCCGAGAAGAACCTTTAAATTATACACACGTATCACTAACAAGCGTGATAGTCAAAACACTAGAAAAAAATAGTTAAAGCCAAATGGGAAGAACACCTGGAGTGATCTGACATAAGAGACAGACAATATGGTTTTCGAACAGGAAGATCCCGAGTAACAAATCTAAGATTTTTGTGATAAGAGCCACAGAGAATCTACAGGAAAAAGTGGGTTGGGTTGACTGGGTCTATTGGACCTAAAAAAGGTTTCTGACAGTCCTACACAAGAGGCTGTTCTGGAAACAAACATGCTGGAGGGGTGGCATGGATGAACAATTTTCTAACTGACAAACAGATGAGGGTGGTAATCAGAGCCAATACATCTGACAACATTGGAGTAAAAGAATAATGTTTGTTTGCTGATAATACCAAAATTATGAGAAGGATTAAGATGGACTACAGCATGAGGCTTAAAGATGACCTCTACAAACTGAAGGAATGGTCCAACAAATGGTTGTTGAGTTCAACCTGAGCAAATGTAAAATAATTAAAATATGTGTAGGGAGCACGAGGCCAGATACAAGGTACAATTAGGAAGATGGAATTCAAGAATGAGTGAGAAAGACCCAAGGGTTGATAATCACACCAGACCTGTCCCCTGAAGCCCAGATCAAGAGGATATCATCAGCGGCATATGCCAAGTTGGAGAACATAAGAACGGCCTTTAGAAACTTGTGTAATGAATCATTCAGAACTTTTGTATACCATGTATGTTAGACCAATCCTGGCGTATGCAGCTCCAGTTTGGAGTCCGTATCTTGTCAAGCACAAGACGAAACTGGAGAAAGTTCAGAGGTATGCCACCAGACTAGTACCGAGCTGAGGGGTATGAGCTACAAGGAGAGACTTGGGGAACTAAACCTAACATCGCTGGAAGACAGAAGAGTTAGGGAAATATAGTGAAGGAGAGCAGAGTGGTGAACATAATATCTGATTTGAGAGATTATACCAACAGTATTAATACTTTTTTTGGCCATGTGTTGTATGTGAATTTGGTTTGATGATTAATGTGTGGGTTGGGAACTGAATAGATAAAGGTAGTATCATCAGTAATATTTAAAAACTGTCTTATCCATTCTAGTATTCTATCACTTATTTCATGTGCTTGTAATTTCCTTGCCAGTGTTTCATGTGGTACCTTATCAAAAGCTTTAGCAAAGTCCATGTGTACTACATCTAATGGAAGGCCTGTGTCCGAATAGCTGGTTAGTTTCCAAAAATGGGAGCAGGTTTGTAAGGCAAGGGTTTTATTTTTAACAAATCCATGTTGATTGATTTTATTTGATTATTCATTGTAAGATGGTGAATGATTCCCTCCCTAAGAATTATTTCCATTAACTTGCAGATATGCAAGGTCAAACTTGTTGGATGGTAGTTTTCTGCTTACCTCTTTCTACATTTTTTTAAATAGTGGCAACATTTGCATAATTCCAGTCTAGGGAAACTATCCTTAGGTCAGGATGATTTTCCAATAACGAGTGTTAGTTCATCTGTCAGTTCCTTAAGAACTGGATTAAATTCTGTCCACATCTGGGGCTTTTGAATCTTTCATTTGTCAATGCTTTTCCTGATTATTATTGCATGTTATGGGGATATCCCTTAATTCATTCTTTTCACCCATTTCAAAAATGTGTTTGAGTATTGGAATGTTGTCTTGAACTCTAGTGAACACTTATGTAAAGTATTCATGTCAAGTACTGTATTGGCTGTGGGTCCACCTGTTATTACTGGGGGCTCCTCTGTCCGAAGTTAGTGCTCCATTGATTATATCTTGAAGTGAACTGTTTCTTGGTCTAGTCAGTACAGTATGTTGGTCAGCATGCATGCAAAAGCATTTTTATTCTTATTTCAACAGATGTTAGTTTGGTTTCCAGTTTTAAGCTTAGTACAGTATTACAGTGAAGAACATAACTGTTCTTATACTTAAATGCCCTGTACAACCACTGAATCTAAATTCTCTTCTTATACAAACAGCCCAACTCTCACACATGAAATGAAAGTGATGTTGTTTTGGACCATCCTTGACCCTTATCCAGTCATGACAACTTAATAAATGGTCCAGGATGGACTGGAACATTATTGCTTTAATTTCATGTTGGGTTATTTATTTCAGCCACTTTAATGTGACATTCTCTGGCTCTTCTTATACAATTAAAAATCTGTCTGGTGACTCACCAAGCAGGCTTTCTTCTTTCGAGAATTACCCTGCATGCGTTCACTTAAGTAGCCCTTCCACCAGGACCTCTCGCCACTCACCATGTTGGCTTCCCTTAGCTTCTTCAGCTCCTCCTGCAGGGTGGCGTTTGAGGTTCGCAGACCATGAATCTCGCTCTCGAAGCTACCCACATCAATGTAAGCAGCACTCCACCGGTTCAACTCCATCATGGACTGCTGCTGGATGTGGTCCGAGCCACTTCGCTCAATGATCTGATGAATATACAAATTATGAGTGGTTGTTATACATGAAAAAAACAATTTTGATTGAAATGAAATGCCTCTTTCAGGTTGAGCCTTGGTAGCTCCCTGAAGCCATCTCGCTGAGATGACTCCCAACGAGTGAGATGGCACTCCTATTAACATTATGTTCATTATTGAACATAATGCCCAACAGACCCAGGAAGAACAAAAACCATGTCTCTGGAGAAGAGCATAAAGTTCCCTGGTCCTACAACTGGATCCCACAAATAAAGCATAAAAATTAACACAAATAAAAAAACTGGTATTTTAAATATGAGAAACATTTACATTAACAGTCACAAAAGCTAAACTTTATATACCAGTCATTACAGCAGAGCGTCACCTGCTCTCTCTGCCTCTGTAAGCGGGCCCCAGGCTCTGGTCCCTGGTAGGCCAAATAAAACTACATGGCTGATGTGACCTAGGAGATGGAAGCTATCTCACCAACATAGCTTCAGGGAGCCACACAAGGCTGCCCCAGAAAATAATAAGGCTTGACTTTTAAACAAGGATAATGCTACAGTTTACACTTGTAAACAAGGTAACCAAGTGAATAACTTCATTTGAAGATTTTGTTGTCTCTAATGAATTGTTGCCTCCAGTGCCTTCTGATAAAAGCACTGGAGGCAACAGTTACAGAGTTTATTAAGAAATATGTGGAAACACTTAAGGGAAAACTTTGACTATTAAAAAATGCACACTCAAGTATTCACCAAACTAAATACTATACTAAACAATTACAGTACAGTATTTAGAAAGCTCTCCATAAATTAATTGTAGATACAACAGCACCACTGGAAGCTTACCTTCCTGAGGGCAGCAGGATCAAAGCCAGCCTCCGTCAGTTCTTCCTGCAGGTAAATTCTCTCTCTCAGGCTTCCTGTTGATGCCACCAGTGCATTTATGAACCGCAAACCCCACACCTGGAAGCTGTCAGAAAAATGGATAACTTAGAAGCTTCATACAGTGTATATCATTTGTTATGTCTTGAACATTCCCACATATGTTAGCTTGCTTCTTTTAGTATTAAGTGTTTACCCCATTATACCTATAAATAATTTTTACCTACATTATTCTAAATTTTCTCAAAAATGCTTAGAGCAGTAGTGGTTTCATATTTGTGATGACCTCAGTACCTACAAGTGTTTCTTCATATGTTCTGTGTACACAATCCTATGAATACAATATTAATAACATAATATTATTATTAACATCATTACCTCCAACCGAGAGGCAGATAACAGTTGTTCCCACTTCCAGAAAAAATATCAATCCTGTCCATTTTGTCACCTATACCAGCCCCAGAAGCACACTCCCTTGTCCTACTTTATGCCTCCTTGGAAAAAGAAGGAACTGTTTACATGTGTTACCTGTGAAGCTGAGTACAGGGAAAAGTTAGGTTTGGGTGTAAAAGAATCTTTGATGTGAAGAATATGAGATAAGGAAGCAACAGTACCTTGGATGAGGATGAGAGAGCATCATTGAGATGAGGAACTTGCACTTGACGGGTTCGGCAAAGCGTAGGCGGAGAGTGGCCATGGCATCCACTACTTGACGGTGGCCTACTGGCGAAGTCACACATGCTCTGGTTAGAAGCTGGAAAACATTCATTGTTATATGTTGTGGCAAGAGTTACAGGAATGTATTATCACATTGGATTATACTGTTCTCTTGTAATTATGGAAATTATTTGGCAAGATATTACTGTATTGGAATAATTAATGTGGAACCTCTTGTAATTATCAAATTGTAGAAGACACTGTATATGAATCCATATCTAAAGTAATTCTTATATCATCTCTATAGGATTTAATTACTGATCATCTCAATAAAGAATAATAATGTGTAACATTACAGGACATTTCAGCCATAGCATTTTTCATCAATATTTAACATTTTCCTACAAGTGCTTTACTATTTGTAAATAAAGTCTAAACAAAACACTGCCATAAATTGTGTACATCTTGATATGTTTTAATTATGGCTTGCGAACAGAGAGCAAATGACAATTTTATATTGCTTAATCATAACATGACTAATGATGAAGATGACTACTCTCTATGTTGCTTCATGTGCCTGTACAGTGCTAAATCTAATCATGGATAAGTAACTATCCTTAATGAGCTTGACTTTAAAAAAAAATCTGCATTGTCTACCCAGTTTTACTCTGAACACAATTTGTGGTGGATCCAGTGTACATAGATCACATATTCTCCAGTGTACAGACGGGGAATCACACACCAATAGAAGTGTGAAAAAATAAAAGATAGGCTAAAACGAACACCCCTATGAATACAGAGTGGTTCGTTCCCAACTCACAATTGGGACTCCTGGGTTCAATTCCCAGGCAGGACAGAAATGGTTGGGAACTTTTCCTCTCACCTAATGCCTCTATTCACTTAGCAGTAAATAGGTACCAGGGGGTTAGGCAACCGTTATGGGGTTGCATCCTGGGAAGGGTCAATAGTTTAACCTTAGGGAGAGGGGATGGTAGTATCCTCAGTATAAGCCTAGTGTATACTGTATACATATATACATACTGCATGTCCTCAACAAAATGAATTATTAACTGCCTTGTCATGACCCACCTGGAGAGCTAGAGTCCGACTCCTGGCGAGGTTGCTCATAGTGGCAACGGCAAGAGCATAGAGGCCGTGGTGGTAGTGGGCTAACCTGAGGGTGGCATCAGTGGAGCGCATACAATACCTCAGGCAGGAGAGGCACTCGTGTTCGTCGATGAGTGCTCGTCGAAGTGCCAACTGCTGCTCCCGGCTGTTGGCTGTTCCTGGCAGGGAGACAGTTGAGTGTGGACTGAAACTATAGTACTGCAAAATGTGCAGAAGAGTTGACTGAAATCATTTAAAATATAAAAAGCATTACCTGGCATGTTCATTGTTTTGGCTAAGTCATGCACCAAATTAGACAAAACAATTACCCACATCCTAGAGAGCTGTAACAGAACTCATGGGCATTACAAGAGAATTAAATACATGTATACAGTATTTTGATTTTCCAAGAGTGAGACTTAATCAAAGCAGAAATACTGCAAATCAAGGGTTTGTAAACTGTGCAATGACCTCCCTAATGAGATTAAAAATTTTACTTCTCTTATCCAGCTTAAAAGAGAAACCTAAGAACTACCTTATTAACTTTAGGTCCCAATTTTCCTCACCTTTTCTCCTCTTACATGTAAACCTGTTTTGTTGTTATTATGCACATTAATTATTTATTACTTTATACTGTACATATGTAGTTACTAAATACCTGTACTGCTGTTTCTAAATATTGTACGTCATTTTTCTAAATCTCGTCTAATATTGTAAAATTATGTATTTGTAACTATGTACTGTTAAAACAATTGCTGTTTATAAAAAAAATTATCAGTCATTTATTTCCATTTCTTCCAACAATTCAAAAAGGTTGTAATTTAATTTTTAGTATTACTGCATTACACATGTTCATTTTCTCTTAATCATTTTTACACTATATCCTTAAAAACTGTATTTCATTTGCTAAAATGCTTTAACAATTATATATTAGCTTGCTTCTTTTTTGAACTGCCCACCTCAAACTTTTAAATAACCTAACTGAATTATTTTAAGTTATGCCCGAGACACTATGCATATTAGTGGTCTTATCAAATATATACAATATACACTGTGTAACAATTATTAAACCACTATTCATATTCTTCTGTACATTTTTTAAATAACATTATTATTATTATTATTATTATTACTATTATTATTATTATGGTAAGTGTTTAACCACTCGCACAAACTGCTTCAAAACAGGAATAATTAAAGTTAAATAAAAAAAATATACTTGTATTGAAATGAAAAAAAGTAAATGTAAGCATCTACACAAGTTAAAATATTAAATGATATGTTGAAATTGAATCTAATAATATAGGTTACATAAATCCTCACTATAGATGCCATCATTTCCCTACAGCAGTGACATTCTTTCAGTGTAATTTTTTACCAAAAAGCCCCTCGTCCAATTTCCTAACACTGTTATCAGGCTTACAAATTTCTCCTCTACCAGCACACATTGTTTGTATCATCACATATATTTTCATAACACTACAGTTCTAAAATTAAATCTCAACAAACCCCACATATCTACTAAAGAGCCAAAGCAATAACTTCTGTCTTGGAGAAGTGCACCTCATCTCTTGCATACATTTAATTCTGTCTATAAAATTGTTCCCTGTTGTCAGTTATTTTGCATTAGATTTGATTATTCGTCCAGTTGGCAACTGGCACCAATAGCCCTAGGCACCCATTGCAAAAAAATATCTCCAATATTCACTCTTGGAATGCAAAATCTAAACCTATTTTTACTGTTCTTAGCAACTTTTCATAATCCAACTATTGTTCTCATATACTTTGCACCTCTTGTGGCAACATGATTCATAAACAGCTTAACCTTGAGTAGCTATGAACCTCAGCTCCCAGGCTGTCACACAGCTCTGCCAAGTCAATATTACTACTGTATTAAGGGTCTGGACATCAGGACTTGGAACTCACCATTAAGGTCAGTCTGGGCCAGCTGGATCATCTTGAGGACATCAAGTAGCAGCGTAACTCCATCGTGTGGATCCCGCACCAGCTCCTTCACAAAGCTGCAGATGGTTGGACATGGTTGGGCATCATCAAAAGTGGCATGGTCATTGGTAGGGACCAAACAAAATTATAGTGGACATAGCCAGAAGTAAACGGAATAGCCAGTGGAATAGTGCATAGCCAGCAGTAGATGGACTAAGACTACTACTTTTACTTTTTTTTAATTTAAAATACTGAACAATTCGGAGGATGTTAATCTGGACAATTTCTTCAAAAGGTCAGATGTAACACAAACAAGGAGTAACGGTTTCAAGCTCAACAAGCCACAATGTTGGACTGAGAACAGGATATACTTTTTTCACCAAAAGTTATAAAAAACATATATAAGAGTTATAAATCTCTTATATAAGATTTATAAGTTATAAAAGATTTAGATTTATAAAAGATTTATAAAAGCACTAACGATGCACTTATTAGTATGCTTAACTCGATTCATACAGCTCTTGATAAAAAGGAGTTCCCTGTTGGGTTATTTGTGGACCTGCGTAAAGCTTTTGATACTGTCAACCACCATAACCTTCTTCTTAAATTACATCATTATGGAGTCAGAGGACACTCCCTACAATACCTCGAGTCCTACCTTACTGACAGGCTCCAATATGTTTCTGTGAATAATACAATTTCTCCCACCCTACCCATCAACATTGGTGTTCCTCAGGGCAGCATACTTGGCCCTCTCCTCTTTCTCATCTACATTAATGACCTTCCAAATGCCTCCCAACACCTCAAACCAATTCTATTTGCTGACGACACAACCTTCATTTACTCCAGTCCTGACCCTCTTGCTCTAAATGCCACAGTAAATACTGAGCTAAATAAAGTCCATCTTTGGCTAACTGCCAACAAACTCACCCTTAACATTGACAAAACCTTCTATATTCTGTTTGGCAATAAATCCTCTAGTCTTATAAATCTCAAAATAAACAATACCCAAATTTGTAACAAATTAGATGGCAAATTCCTTGGCATTCTCATTGACCACAAGCTGAATTTCCAGGGACACATTCTAAATATATCTAAAAAAGTTTCAAAAACTGTGGGCATTCTTTCTAAGATCAGATATTATGTACCACGCCCTGCCCTGGTGACTCTCTATTACTCCCTTATCTATCCTTATCTCAACTATGGTATTTGTGCTTGGGGTTCTACTACCCAAAATCACTTACGTCCTCTAATTACCCAACACAAAGCCGCTATTAGAACAATATCCAACTCTGGCCCCAGACATCACTCGGTACCCCTACTCAAATCTCTTAATATGTTAGATATTAAGTCTCTGCACATTCTCTCATGTGTATTATACATATATAAAACGCTAAACTATAATGCCAATCCTGATCTTAAAAGCTTCATAGTAGGTTGTAACAGAACCCATGAGCACCACACCAGAAATAAATACAGTTTTGATATTCCTAGAGTACGTCTTAATCAAACTAGAAATGCTCTGCAAATCAAGGGGCCCAGAATGTGGAATGACCTTCCCAACCATGTTAAAGACTGTACCTCTCTCAACCAGTTTAAGATAAAAACTAAACACTACCTAATAAATTCCCTGTAATCTACCTCACTCCTCTATTGTCAACCCATGTCTGTTATTTTCTTTTTTTTTTTTTTTTTTAATCAACACTGTTTGTCAACCTATTGTATTTGTGCTGCTTTTTCAGTCATGTTTCCCCCTTTTTTTATCTTTATTTGTATTTGTTCTCAACATCTTTTATTCTTTATGCTCAATTAGTATTAAGTTCTAGATATTAATGTTTTCTTGCCCGAAGCGCATTGCGTAATAGTGGCTTTAGGCATTGTATGTACTAGATCTATCTATATATCAATCCATTAATGTAACATCACTTGTATGTATATACCTTACCTGAATAAACATCTGAATCTGAATCTGAATCTGAATCTGAAAGTTATAAATCCATGGAACCGTCTACCCCGCTTTATCCGTAAATGCCAAATCTTTGTTAAGTTTTAAAATCCAACGGGAAAAGAGCAGGGCAAATGGGGAGGGGAACCTTTGACAAGCCGCCGGCTTCCTTTCCTCGAAGTTACTAGTGTGTTCTTTACACGAGAGCTAATAAATACTAGTAGCGTCGACGAGAACAGGAAGCCGGCGGCTTGTCAAAGGTCCCACACTGAGGGAGAGGCACCCCACCTGAGGTAGGACAGCTTGAGGTCTTCTCGCAGACGCTTTAGCAACTCCGGCAGGGAACTGAACTGCTTCATTGACATCTCCGGTGGCGCCTCGCGTGCCGCACTCTTCTCCTTGTCACGCCCTCGGCCCTGAAACCATCCACGAGCCGTCAAGAGACATTCATACACGATACATCGCTCGTGCTTCCTACTGCAGCAGTATATGCAAGAATATAGGAAATGGGGAATGGGCCGTTTCTTACTCATCTAAGCTGTGCTTGTGGGGGTGGGTGGGTTGAGCTTCTGCTCTTTGGTCCCGCCTCTCAACCGTTAATCTACTGGTGCACATGTTCCTGAGCCTACTGGGCTCTATCATATCTACATTTGAAACTGTGTATGGAGTCTGCCTCCACCACATCACAGCCTCGTGCATTCCATTCTACTTTCTAAGGTCTATGTGGCTCATCTGGGTTCTCATCAGTTTGCACCCGTGTCCCTTTATACGAGTACCACCGATATTAAATAACCCGTTCTTATCTATCCTGTTAATTCCTTTAAGAGTTTGGATGTATTTTATGGGTGAGAATTTATCGTATATCAGCTACTATGCAACTCGTCCTTTAACTTAAAATCACGTAATTCAATCAACCAATCCGTTTAAAATGCGACATAGTAAAACATAAGGCATTATAATACTAAAATTTCTTTATGCATCAGCCTCGATAGGTTGTGTGGGTTTATTGGGTTAGTATGTTTCTGGTTAGGTAAAGGTTCATTTTTACCGAGTGGTAAACTGAGATGTCGTATCCGGTTAATCGAAACTAGTCAGATTAGATTGAACATTTTGTGACTGGTAAACATAAAATATAGTACTGTTGTATCATATCAATATGTTATTCAGATTAAACTTAAAGTTTTTAATATAACAAAAATATAATACTTCAGGAAGGTGAAGAAGGCCTAATTTGGTTCATGCACAACCCGGCCTTTCAAACAGTACATGGCATTTAGACGTATAAATCCTAAAAATTGCTGTACTAAAAACCACAGTGGCTCACAAAATTGGCGTCATATCCCGTTTTCTATTCGTGGGGCCTTGGTTAGGTTCAGCCAATTTAATAATAAGTACATTTAGTATTGTACTTATAATGTAAAACTGTACTAATGTAAATAATATACTTATAATGTACAAATAATTGAGTACATCAGTCTAGGGACGTTGTTTACGATCTATATAGGAGGACGGGCTGTTACAGCGCCGTAGTAAAAATTATTGGGCGCTAGGCTGCCTCTCGGGTAATCCTGTAAATATTAACTGTCTTCTACAAAAGCTAGAATGTTATCGTTGAAAATTGTAGGGAAAATTTCTTAAAATAAATTGCAGTTTACTACTGGCAAAAACATAATCCCAAAGAAAGTTCAAATTAAGATAGCGAGAACTTCTCCACGAGGCTGGAGAACTAACAGTAAATTCAAGATGCTAGCAAACTACCTGGCAGGTGTTTCAGACAGGTGTTGTGGTCTTGAGCGCGGGCAGCAGCCAAAGATGCCCAACACCTGTCATGACGGTAAACACCTCCTCAAGCCACACTTAGCCTTGGAATATTAATTAACATGACGGAATCCCCTTCTCATTGTTTTATTCTTAGCTATTACAATCTATCTGGTTCTTACCAAAATGAATACCAGATCAACCGTTAAATCCGAGAGGAACTAAGAAAATGAATACCAGATTAACCGTTAAATCTGAGAGGAACTAAGAAAATGAATACCAGATTAACCGTTAAATCTGAGAGGAACTAAGAAACAGCTATCCATAATGGGATAGATATTAACCAATCTCTTACCTTTATTCATGTCATTATCTCCGTGTGTAACTATCCCTTACCTTCTTCTCCTTGGGCAGCTCAGGTATGTAGAGGTGAGCCATGTGGGCGTACTTGGCAAGAGCGTGGGCGTAGTCCTCCGGGTTGAACATGGGCGGTCTGAGGTGGGGGGCGGGGATGTTGGCGTCCTCAGCCTCCACCACCCCTTCGTCCTCAGACACCCGCATCTCCACCTCGTCCTCCACGCTGTTGGAGGAGGAATGTGGAGGGTTAGACACGTTGACTCGTACCTCGTGTGTATGTGTGTGTACTCATCTAATTGTGCTTGCGGGGGTTGAGCTCTGGCTCTTTGATCCCGCCTCTCAACCGTCAATCAACAGGTGTACAGGTTCCTGAGCCTACTGGGCTCTATCATATCTACACTTGAAACTGTGTATGGAGTCAGCCTCCACCACGTCACTTCCTAATAATGTATGTGTGTGTGTGTGTGTGTGTGTGTGTGTGTGTGTGTGTGTGTGTGTGTGTGTGTGTGTGTGTGTGTGTGTGTGTGTGTGTGAGTGTGAGTGTGTGAGATTCCTGGTTAGGGAAAAGTTGTTTATAGCGTGCACATGGATACTATCCTGCACAATTAGCCAACACCTAGTGAGGGAATATAGAATGAAAATTAACAATTACGCCAAATAAAACATTCTTGGTAACGTCCAAGAGAACATTACAAATCGTTGTTCCACAACTGTCAACAATTAAAGCGCCAACCCCGCACCAAACCGCGCTAATTATACTTCCCAGGAAGACGGAAGTGACCAGTTAAGGCGGGAAAATTCCACAAGAAGGAGTGATGAGGGGGGGGGGAGAGTACAGATGGAGTGGAGAACACTGCTGGTGCAGGAGACACAGCGGTGATGCTGCTCATCCTTATATTACAACTTTTTTGTTATTATTACAGCTAGAGAGAGAGAGTCAGTGGACTTTGAAACGTGACGGTAGAACACTTCACGTCCTCAGACATGCAATTACATAATTTTAAACCGTGTTCTTCCCAATGATACGTTCTTTCATATGTAATTATATAAAAAATATATAACCTGGAGAATGGCTACGTCATCTGTGTGTGTGTGTGTGTGTGTGTGTGTGTGTGTGTGTGTGTGTGTGTGTGTGTGTGTGTGTGTGTGTGTGTGTGTGTGTGTGTGTGTGTGTGTGTGTGTGTGTGTGTGTGTGTGTGTGTGTGTGTGTGTGTGTGTGTGTGTGTGTAAAAAAAAAGTTGATTGACAGTTGAGAGGCGGGCCGAAAGAGCCAGAGCTCAACCCCCGCAAGCACAACTAGGTGAATACACACAATACATATGTATTTGCTGATGCAAAAATTATGAGAAGAATCAAGACAGGTGATGATAGACAGAGACTACAAGACGATCTGGACAAACTGGAGGAATGGTCTGGAAAATGGCTACTCAGTTCACTTCAGGAAAGTGTAACGTAATGAAATTAGGCGAAGGGAGCAGGAGGCTGAACACAAGGTACCATCTGGGAGGTGAAATCCTGCAAGAGTCAAATAGAGAGAGACCTTGGGGTTGATATCACACCGAACCTGTCCCCAGAACCCACATCAAAAGGATATCATCAGCGGCATATGCTAGATTGGCCAATATAAGAACTGTCTTTATATACCACTTATGTCAGACCAATCCTGGAGTATGCAGCTCCAACCTGGAGTCCAAACCTACTTAAATACAAGTAAAAGTTAGAGAAGATTCAGATTCAGAGGTATGCCACCAGACTGGTCCCGGAACTGAGAGGTATGAGCTACGAGAAAAGGCTAAGGGAGCTAAACCTCACGTACCCAAATGAGCCACAGGGACGTTAGAAAGAACTTTTTCAGTGTCAGAGTAGTTAACGAATGGAATGTATTAGGCAATGATGTGGTGGAGGCTGACTCCATACACAGTTTCAAATGTAGATATGATAGAGCCCAGTAGGCTCAGGAACCTGTACACCAGTTGATTGACAGTTGAGAGGCGGGACCAAAGAGTCGAAACTCAACCCCCGCAAGCACAACTAGGCGAGTACAAGGCGTGAGTCTGGTGAGATTGTAGGCTGTGACTTAACGGGGAAGGCCGCGAACCATGACGAGCGGAGAGGAGGCAGGAGAGGAGGAGGAGAGGGAGAGGATGGAGGAGGAAGAGAGGAAGAAAGAAACTTAGAAAGAACAGTGAAGATGAATCCAAGATCTTAAACGTATTATCTATCAGTCCCTGCAGGGTAAATTTTCAGCTCCTGAGCCCCAAAACCCTTCTGCCTGACGCTGTGTGGAGTTAACACCCCATCCTCCTCACGTGTTGACAACACCAGGGACACTCTTCCTTACGTCTCCTGTTAGTCACTAGGCCTACCTTCCCTGCACCACGTGGCGTTACCTCTGTGAACACCATTCTTGCTGTACAGCTTTTTACTCTCTCAAGTTTTTAATCAATGACCACCACATAAAGGGTCACCACCACCACAAAGGTTCGTGAAGCCACAGTAAAGCCAGACCAGACGTTAACAGAGCCAGCAGCCCGTCCTCCAAACATAGACCCAAAAGTGATTCCATGCATCTGCCAAACCCCCTGTTTATGAATAAAAAACGGTTCACACACGACTCCAACCCGTCCTCGAATCAAGTCCATTACATCCAGGGGTCGCAACCAGTTCTCGCATACAAAGATCAAAGCTCTTTAATCCAGCCGCCAAACCCCCTGTTAATGAATCAAAAGCGGTTTACACACGACTCACAACTGATGACGTCCGAACGCTTCCGGAACAAGTGCTTTGCTCACGTCCTCTGTTCGAACCACAATTCTATAAATGCTTCACCCACGAACTTATAAATACAAATAATTACCAACAGAACCTAAACACCTAACCTAACCTACGCCAAACTATACATAAAATTTTTATGTATAAGAATATTAATTTATATATGAGAACAAACCAATTTTTAATACACAGTATGTTAAAATTGATGAATGCGTCTGCGGAGGACGGCCGCTGCTTTAAACAGTGAGAACGGGTTGGGGGTCGACCTCACAGACGCATTCATAAATTTTTACATGCTGTTCATTCAAAACTGGAATTTTCTCAAATATAAATTAATATTATAATATGTTAGCATATTGTGCAAATATAGGCATAGGTTATGTTAGGTTAGGTGTTTAGGTTCTGTTAGCGATCATTTGTAGTACGTGGGTGAAGCATTTATAGCGTTGTGGTTCGAACAAAATTCGTCAGTGAAGCACTTGTTCCCGAAGTGTTCGAACGAAATCAGTTGTGAGTCGTGTGTAAACCGTTTTCATTCGTAAACAGCGGGTTTGGTGGGTGCATGTAATCACTTTTGGGACTTTGTTTGGAAGATGGACTGCATGATTCACAACTGCTGACGTTCGAACACTTCGGAACAAGTGCTTCACAGACCAATTTTGTTCGAACCACAACGCTGTAATTCCTTCACCCACGCCCGTCCTCCAAACAATGATCCAAAAGTGATTCCATGCACCCGCCAAACCCCCTGTTTATGAATGAAAAACGGTTTACACACGACTCACAACTGCTGACGTTCGAACATATCCGGATCAAGTGCTTCACTGACGAATTTTGTTCGAATCACAACGCTATAAATCAGCCCGTCCTCCAAACAAAGATTCAAAAGTGATTCCATCCACCCGCCAAACCCCCTGTTTATGAATGAAAAGCGGTTTACACACGACTCACAGCTGCTGACGTTCGAACATATCCGGAACAAGTGCTTCACTGACGAATTTTGTTCGAATCGCAACGCTATAAATGCTTCACCCACGTACTACAAATACAAATAATCGCCAACAGAACCTAAACACCTGACCTAACCTATCCTATGCCTATATATACACAATATGCCAATACATTATAATATTAATTTATACCTGAGAAAATTCCCGTTTTGAATGATTAGCATGTTAAAATTTATGAATGCGTCTGTGGGTTGACCTCTGAAGGTAATGGACTTGAGTCGAGGACGGGTTGCCCACGTACTACACATACAAATAGCAGCCCCCCGTAGTGTAGTGGTTAAGACACTCGCCTGGCGTCCCGCGAGCGCTTTGTCTTGGGTTCGTATCCAGGCTGGGGGGGGAGGATTTACTGGGCGCAAATCCTTAACTGTAGCCTCTGTTTAACTCAATAGTAAAATGGGTACCTGGTTGTTAAACGATTCTTGTATATATCAATAAAAAAAATCGCCAACAGAACCTAAACAGCTAACCTAACCTATGCACAATATGATAATATATTATAATATTAATTTATATTTGAGAAAATTCCAGTTTTGACGGAACACCATGCAAAACTTTATGAATGCGTCTGTGGGGTCGACCGCTGGATGTAATGGACTGAGTCGAGGACGGGTCGGAGCCAGCGAGCCTGCCTCAGTAACTTAACAGGGTTGTTACAGACCGGATGTGGCGAGGTCTAAGTTCTTGCTGACTTCAAGATTAACCTTCACTTTGAAGACAATACGCAGACATGGTGTGGCAAGGTCAGTTAATATGCATTCATTTATACACGTGTACTAATTTACGCACTCGTGTAAATGAAATTTTCACTGTAACACTATTTTTTCACTATACAGTTTGTGTCAGATTTGTCAATAAATGGAACAGGTTAGATGCAGAAGTCGTTGAAGATAATTCGATTCAAAATTGTAAATGTAAATATGATAGAAGCGTGAGAAATGAGTCATTGCATTATCTAAGAACGTTCGGAAGGCGAGGCCAGGAGCCTAGCTCAACCCTGCAAGCACATAAGTGAACTGCAAGTACGTTCTCACTTAAATGAGAAGGTGGTGGAAGCCAAAACCGTCAGTAGTTTCAAAGCTTTACACAACAAAGAGTACTGGGAAGACGGGACACCGCGAGCGTAGCTCTCATCCACTTAGGTAATTACATCTAGGTGAGTACGGGCACACATATGGACTGAAAAAACTTACAATAACCTTCCCATTTTTGTTTTTAAATCTTCGAGAGGCTTTTTCGTTAACTTTAACGATCATAAAATAACATTTCTGAGAGGTAAATAGAACAAAAACTTGAATAAAAACTTGGCCTTTGTGGAGGTAGCCGCTCATTGGCCAATTATTTTTCTGGACTTCACGCAGAAATAATTTCCCGGAGGAAGATGACAATGGCTCAGATTGTAAATATATTTCAAGGAAGAGTCGATATATTACAAAGGAAG